AAAAAAAAAAAAAAAAAAAAAAAAAAAAAGATAAACATTTAGCTCAAAAACATGTCCAAAACTGTGTCCCTGGAGTAAACCCAATTTCAATTGCTACTGGCTTCGACTCCAGCCACAAACCACCATGTGAATGTTGGTCCATTAACAGCTGCTGGAGGAAACAATGTATCACTGTTATTCAGAGGGATTTCAAGAATGCTATAATTTATCATGTTGTAGCATTCAACAGTACAGGGGTAAATGCTCTACATCAAACCTCACATGCTTTAGTCACAATTAAATGTGCAATATGTAACTTTTCAAGTTTGCAACCTGTCTGTCTCCATGGAGATGTTATTGCAATGTGGTATTAAATCTATCAATCTTTATTTCACCGTTTTATTTAGTAGTTAAAATGCCTCTGTGCAGGGTTGCCTCTCCACAGATGTCACATCTGTCATTTAGGCGAGTCCAGATAAAGCAGTAACATCACTATGGAGACAAGCAGGTGGCAGACTTTACATCAGAAAAGTTACATAGTGCACCTTTAAAGGTCCTATATTGCACAAAATGTCTTGTGAGCTTTAAGTAATGTTAGAATGTTGTTACTTCATCAAAAACATACCTGAAGTTGTGTTTTGTTTCATTCGCACAAGGGATGCAACAATATATATAATATCGATATAATATTGAATTGTTCAGTACTGGTATCACGATTCAATTCACGTGTTTGTTCGATATGCACGATTCATGCTGTGTTGTCCTTTATTTTGGTCCAAAAGAAAAACAGTTCTCACCGCATCCTCCTCAGATGCAGCAAAAAAAAAACTGCTCCATAGGGACTTACAGCTGAAATATTCAAACAGACGTGGGTTTTAACTTTCAGTCACTTTTTATTTTAAGTTGAAAAACCAAGGAATGACAAAGATATTAGACACTTTAGAATCGCTTTTGGCTTTAATCAAATGCGCTCATATATGTACCCGTGACACACAAGTTTTACTTAGAAAACCATTTGTTGAGATATTTCTATGTAGTTTGAGTGTTCAGAAAGTAGATGGGAGAGTGCAGTGTGAGTAAAAAGAGCAGGGCAGTGTGGGAGGAGCTACTGTCTGTCTCTGCTGCTGCTGCTGAAGACGAGGCAGACAGAGACAGTCATATGTACATATATACATGAGATTTTTCTTATCAAAATCTGATCAATATCGTGACCCCCATATAGAGATACTTATCGAATTGTGGGAAAACTGTATTGTTGCATCCCTAATTCACACATCTTTGACTAATGCTTTAATGCGGTCTGTATCTCCAACGCTCAAATGCTCTGTTCCACCTTGTGATGTCAGTAGTAGTAGTTTTCAAGCTCACTGGTATGTTTTTGATGAGGAAACAACATTATAACATAAATCACAAAACAGACATGGGCCCTATAAATTCAATAAAATCCAATCATGTTCAGGATCAGCTCTTGGTGAAAGTTTCTGGCCATAAAACAATAGAACTTCAGATACCATCAACAGAGGCATGATTCTTTACAACAGGTGCCAACTCTAACTAACTATAGTGACTTTGCACCAATTATGTGATTATAGCTTATAGCGTGGCTGTGGTCCCTAAAGACAGCTCTTTTGATTAAATTCCTTTCTTGGCTGCGTGCTAACTCAGGAGATTGACTATAAGTATAATTCTTAAACTGCTGGTCACGTTACAATATCAAAACAGAATCATCAATCAGAGATGGCTGATATATTGATTACATTATCTGTATCGGTCAATATCGAAAGGTTTTGGAAGGTATCAGTATCGGACATTATCTGGTACAAATCTTTTTCTGTAACTGCCCCAGTCTGTGTGTCTGTGTGTCATTCCCAGATGATTTTCAGTGCATCAGATATGTCCTTTTGAATAAACTAAAGAGTAAAAATGGCCAGTTAAGCTAAAAATAAAGCTGCATGTTTACACAAACATATCAAAATGTATCAATCTGGGATATAAAATCTTTTCTTACATAAGTTAATTTGTTGACCAAGAAATGCAATTAATTTAAAAAGTTGAAATATCGGTATTGACAAATATCGGTTAAATCTGTCACAACAGCAAGCCAAATATCAGACATCGACACAAATCTCTGATGGGTTTGCAGTGAAATAAGGTTGTGGATTGTTGCCATTTCAGATCACATAATTTGGGTAGAAAGATCAAAATTAAAATTTGAAGTATACAGCATACTGCTCATCAAGAAATTATAGATGATAGATGATAAACGATAAACAATATCCTCAAAAACTATTCTAAATGTATAAAATGTATGAAAAAACACAAACTGCAATAAATATAAAGAAAGAATGAAGAAAAGCCTGAGGTGATACTGTTTGGGGCCAGCAGCAGCCTCATTGATGTGGGACACCTCAAAAATTATGTTTGCCCCACAGTCACCAACCTTGGCGTCACCTTAGACAGTGATTTTAAATTTGACAAACAGATCAATTGTGTTTTAAAATCAAGTTTTTATAATTTGCGGCTTTTATCTAAAGTCAAACATTTTTTATCTTTTAAACTTTTTGAACAAGTCGTGCACACTTTTATTTCATCACACCTGGACTACCATAACACTATTCCAGCATCTCACAAAACGCACTTTACCAACTACAGTCCAAAACTCTACGGCGCGACTTTTAACAGGAACAAAAAGAAGGCAGCACACATCACCCCAATTCTTGCGTCTTTGCACTGGCCTCCTGTTCATTTTAGAATTGATTTTAAGATTCTATTGTTTGTTTTTAAAGCTTTGAATGGACTGGCCCCACAGTACGTCTCTGAGGTCCGAGGCCTAGCTCCAGCTCTTGGTGCCTAAGACGAGACTTAAAACCAGGGGGGACAGGACCTTCTCTGTGACTCTGGAACACTCTGCCCCTCTATGTCCAAACAGCCCCCATAAGTGGAGAGTTTTAAGTCTTATCTTAAGACCCACTTTTCTTCTCTGGCTTTTAAATCCGTGTATCATTCGTTCATTCGTTTTTCAATATAAAACTAAAAATAAGAAAACGAAAAAACAACAGTTTTCTTCGTTATTTGTCTCCAAAACCAAAATGAAAAAACGGATAACGATTCGTTTTTTCAGTTTTCGATTTTGTGTTTAAATGAAGAATGGAAAAAACGGATACGGCCGTTTCCCGTTTACGTGACTTCCGTGTTTACCGAACTTTTGCACCGGGTACGGACTGAACCAGGACTGATCCGAGACCGGGACCAGAGCGGGACTGAGACCGGGACCAGGGCAGGACCAGGGTGGGACCAGGGCGGACTCCGAGCTTTGACTCTGAGCCTCCACGGGGTCCGAGCCTCAGCTTCGAGCTCCGGCCCTGCCGTGGGCTCTGAGCCTCCGGTCTGGTCCCGGTCTGGTCCTAGTCTTGTCTCGGTCTTGGTCTCAGGCCCGCTCTGGTCCCTGTCTGGTCCCAGTCTCAGTAGCGCTCTGGTCCCGGACCTGGTCCATTTGAACCAAAAGCTCTTAGTTCGATTCATTTTCATTGGTGTGAATGCGTCAGTCGGAGGCTTTGCACCACCTCGGAACCAGCCGCGGTTCTTGAGCGCGGAGAACCAGAGCAGCTCTGTCCCGGTCTCAGTCCTGCTCTGGTCTCGGTCTGGTCTTGGACCTGGATCCGTCTGATTCAGTCCGTATGCGGTGAGACTGGGACCAGACCGGGACCAGAGCGGGCCTGAGACCGAGACAAGACCAAGACCAGACCGGGACCAGACCGGAGGCTCAGAGCCCACGGCAGGGCCGGAGCTCGAAGCTGAGGCTCGGACCCCGTGGAGGCTCGGAGTCAAAGCTCGGAGTCCGCCCTGGTCCCGGTCTCAGTCCCGGTCTGGTCCCGGTCTCAGTCCCGCTCTGGTCTCGGACCTGGATCAGTCCTGGTTCAGTCCGTACCCGGTGCAAAAGTTCGGTATCGCAGTCACGGAAGTCACGTAAACGGGGAAACGACCGTTATCCGTTTTTTCTATTCTTCATTTAAACACAAAATTGAAAACTAATCGTTATCCGTTTTTTCATTTTGGTTTTGGAGACAAATAACGAAGAAAACTGTTGTTTTTTCGTTTTCTTATTTTTGGTTTTATATTGAAAAACTGAACGAATGATACACGGATTCTTTTAACACCGCATGAGTTGTGTGGTCCTCTGCGTCTTTTATTTATTTTTAATGTTTTTTTTTTTTTTAATGTATTTATTGCTATTCTGTGGTTTTGCTCTTATTTTATTTTACAGGTTTTATTATTTTAAAACTGGTACGATTAAATCTGAGTGTTTATTTTATCATTTTATTATTGTTATTATTATGTATTTGTGCAGCACTTTGGCTTGTGTGTGAAATGCGCTATAGAAATAAAGTGGATTGGATAAATAAACAGCGGAATGAAACACTTAGTAGTTAGTTTGTATCTATATAATGAGTCATAGAAGTTACTGTTACATATTGAAAAGATAACTTAAATATGAATTATCCCATATATTGTCCCAGAAATATCGGTAGAGCTTATTGGCCGATATTTCTCTGGTTTATCTCTAATCAGTATAGACTCAAAAGACTTCATTGATGATCTCCCTATCATCAATGAAGTCTGTACTACATGAACTTGGCTTGTTTCCTTTTCATCGTGACGTTCTTTCACCGGATTATTTGAAACAGTTCAGTGACAGGCGGGCTGGTTGGACATCCTGCCTTTGAGCGTCCCTGGACTTTGACAGAGATGCCCCGACCATGTATTTACCCGAGCCCTATTGATCACCAGACCAGCCACACCAGGAAAAAGTGCTATTTGTTTAACAGTGAACCTTTCTACAGGTATCTGAGCAAACAAAGAATTCTGCAACTCCTGTCTGACATAAGCTGTGATAAGGAGTGTCAATAGCCCGCCGCAGACAAAACCTAAATTACATTAGTTAATATTTAATGAGGAAATGAGGTGGACCGGATTCTTCCTTTTTCACAATTTCTGAGATTTAAACCGAGTTAAAACAGTACCTGTGTTGTCCCAGTCCAGGGTAAAAGCGCATCCAGGGGCGAAAAGGAGAGAGCACACGAACAGAAGAGGGCTGTATTTTGAGGGAGCGGCCATGATCCTAGACAAAAAGAAAAAAAAAAGACAAAGTTTAATGCCATACTGTGGAATATTCCCAGCAAACCAATAACATCTCCAGAGCGATCAAAAAAGTGAGCTATTGCACCATTAAGTTGGGTTAGTTTTAAAACGTTTAAAAACTTTTAAAGCTAGATGTTTATTTTGTGATTAAATTCAAATCCCCCAAAAAGTAAAATATAAAATAAAACATAAAGAACATTAATTTCATCTTGTGGCTTTCTTTGGCATTATCCTGCAGTGTGACAAAGGAAAATTCTTTCTTCAAATTCAGTTTTAGATCTCAACATTTTTAAATATAAAGATAAATACATTTACTTACTTACATACCAACAAATCTTTTATTTAGAGATCATATAAGAAATAAATCCTTGCTTTCCTCTGTCCTTCTGTGCAATCTAATGGCTGTTGATTGTGTTTAAAACATTTTATGACAGGTCGTATTTAAGCACGCTCAGAGAATATACGATCAAGAATAGGGGTGTGCAAAAATATTGAGATATTGGTATATCGTATCGTTTAATGTAATGATACAGTATTGATATTGAGGCCTGCTGTATCGATATATCGCCAAGCTTATTTGCTGGTGTATTTTACTCACTTATTTTGTCACAGCAGGTTTGTTGCTTGTTTAGAGGAAGGAAACTTGTTTATGCGACACATTTGACATTTTCACTTTTTTTGTAATTAAAATGTTTGTGTTTCATATTCCCTTTGCACAAGAAGAAATGATTTAGCTATTATTTTTTATTGAACCATATTAAATCATTTTTGAAATATATCGAATGTATCGAATCAAAACTGCACTGTATCGAGATATGTATCGTATCTTGACCTATGTATCGAGGTATGTATCGAGGTATGTATCGTATCGGCAACTTCTTAATGATACCCAACCCTAATCAAGAATATACGAAAGGACGAAATGGGTATTTAAATCTAACTCAAGATCCTCCAACTCTCCAGCCCCTTCCAAGTCACTTGTCAAAGAATTTCTGAATTATACTTATTGAGCTGAATAACCCAAATTTGGTTAATGAAATGCCTACTACTGTTGTAAATTTATCATTTTGAGAGTTAACTTTATGTGGTAGTAAATGGATAATGATTTAAGCATTTAACTCATTTACCCCATCTATGGCTTACCGTGGCTTTTATAAATAGAGATATATCGGTTAAACGATATATCGGTTGTCCAATATTTGCCTTTTTGGTAAACCAGCAACCAGCCCTAAATCTCCCTTAAAGGCCAATATTTAGTTTTAGCCAACCTGCTGCCTAAAGAGCACACATAAAGCTTCATATTAACACTTTAATGTGAAGAGATAACCGCACAAAATGTGACTACACTGCTTTCTTACAGTGGTCTTTTTACCACTATATTGTGATCAAAGGGCTGTGGGTGAGTTTGTAGTAAATTTAAAAACAGAAATTGGGAAAAATAATCAAAATCAGGCCTACATATCATCCCAAAAATATCAGCACATCTTGGCCATCAGTTTGTCTTGATTCTAAACAAATAGCATCAGCCATGAAGAAAAACATATCGGTCGATCTTTACTTGGTAGATATACTCAATTTATTGCGATCACTAAAAGGAATAGTTCTCTGCATTTTCATTTTGTAAAGGTGGCAGTTGGCTCACCAGAGGAAAACGGTTGGAGACCTCTTATCTAATGTGTTCCTAGCTCTCACAAACCCTTAGGCCCAATGCAACTCCTCAAATGCATGAATTATCTTTAGAACAGCTTTTACAGACTGATAAATGAAGCAGGGTGGACCATCACTGCACAGATAATCACCTTTCATCTTAAAGTGTCATAGTGTCTCCCGTGGCTTTGTCTTGCAACTTTACAATAGATCAGATGTTTTAGAATTTGGTCAAGACAGCATGTAGCAGCCTGATTTGTGTCACACAGTTCTGCTTTTACAGCACACTTTATGGAGAAAAATCCTGGAATTTCCAATGACATCACAAGGTGGAACAGGGCATTTAGAGCTCTGTAGATGTAGGCAGACTAATAAACCAGGGATACAGATTCACATTCTAACATGGCTTAAAGCTCATAAGAGTCCATTTTGTGTAATAAAAGACCTTTAATGCAGCTTTAAACCTACTCTGGCATACACTTTTAGAAACTGGTACAAGTATGAATCGTTTCTTTTTCAATTAAATAAATAGGATATGGTATACAACTCATACAGAGTCTTCATAGAGTCTATATGCCAGGGTTCAGTGGCCAGGTCCTTCCAGTCAAGTTCAACCTAAATATAGGCTGAGTTCACTGTCCGCACCCTTGGCTATTTACAGCTGTGGCACCACAACTTTGGGCAGGAGCTGGGACCCATCTGAAGCCAAACGCTTTTTTTTTTCTCAGTTTGTGTCATAGACTAAACCACAGGCCTCTGGATTTAAAAAGGATTCAAGGATGTCTTTAAATTGTTATGTGATTTAATGGCAAGAATCTCTGACACCACAGAGGAAACAGACTAAGAGCATGAGCCCTCAAGTAGGAAAATGCTCAGGTTGAGACGTGCCCCCCCCCCCCTTAAGAGGACTAATCATAAACATACAATTATGTGGAGTTAACTATGATTGCAGGGAACAATAACCCACTAAGAAGCAAAATGAACAGTGACAGAGAGACTGATGAAATGGGGGCCAATGCTACAACTGTGCTAAATTCATATAATGTATTTTCATACTACACATGGTGTGAAAAAAGTTAAATAACAGTTTTTTATTTTAGTTTTTTATATATGTTGATTACTGTACTGTACTGAAACTGAGCAGGGAAAAGATCCTACAATATCCCACTGTATGACATTAAAGTTCTCTATCTCCATGGAGACAGGCAAGTGGCACCACCAGACCAATTTGCAGGTCAAATCTGTGGAGACAAGAATGCAAATGCATTTGCATTTCTAACAAACTGACATTTAATAGTCAGGCTGGCACCACGTAGTGCCTCCGCTCAATTTCTTTTCTCTCCAGCGACTAGGTCAGGAATCGAAATACGCTAGATGGGTTGCAAGAACCCCGGAAGTTGTAGACCGCGCACTGGCCAGTCAGTTTAGAGCTGTGAAGCCATGATGTCAAACTCAATTGCCTGTCTGGGTCTCTTTTGTGGTACAGCACAACAGTAAACAAAGCGGTCGAGATGGATGTAGACGAAGCCATACATTTTGTGTTGGCAGTGATTCCCGAGATCAAGGATTTAAAGCCGGAACAAAGAGAATGTTTGGTGAATTTTATCAAGGGGAAAGACGTTATTGTCCTTCTTTCTAGAGGATTTGGCACATTACATATGTCACGACCAAATAGCAGCGATTGGTTAAATAAAAAAGTACTTACGTACCGTCAAGCGAACAAATCCTACTGCCGCGAGGTCAGACAGTTTCCACGAAGTGAAACCGGCTGATGAATCAGGTAATTTAATACCATACTATGCAACATTCCAGGTTACCCAGGGACATCACCACTAGGGATGCACTGATCCAGCTTTTTCAGTTCCGATATCGACTTTAAGTATCTGTCAATCCAGCGTAGGCATGGAAAATGGCACTTATTTCCTTAAAACACAGTTAACTTATAACACAAGAGATTCAGTTCTGTAGTGCAACAGTTATTTACCCTTCAAATCAGTAATGACAGCTTTATGGATAAAAGTTCAAATACTATGAGACATTCTAGGCCAAAATCTGTCAGTAAATTGCCTTATTACGGCCAATTAAAGGTCCAGCCAGGATATCATGGAACCAATACCCGATCCAGATCATTTTCCAGTATCGTATCAGTGCATTACTACTCTTCATGCAGACAACAATATACCAAAAATAATCTGCTAACGAAATGTAGATCCATTTCCAGAATTTTCTCAAAAGTGATGCACTACATGTGTCACCAATTTACTAGCTTCATAATCTCTCACTATTTGTTTTCACGGTTTTTCAGCCCTTTGCATAGTATTAGACTGTGTTGTTGCTACCGAATGCAAAATAAAGACATAAATAAAAAGAGCTGTTATAAATGTTTTTAATAAGTTTCTGAAACCATGTCATTCTGGGTTTATTTACATTTCACCCAGAGAGCCAACATTTTTGAAATCAGAGTAGAAAGTCTCATACGTGCCAATGTGTGTGTGTGTGTGTGTGTGGCTCAGGAAATGTGGAGGGCATATGAGGCCGCGTTATACAGAGGGGAATTCATTGGAGAACTGCTACACTCTAGATCAGCCAAAATCTCATTCTTTTTTTATTGTGTTTCAACTTGAGGTAAAACCAACAATTTCATGACAATTTAAATTACACAACTCAATCCATTAGAAACATGTGCTGATGTTAATTCCAAACACAAAAACTATGCAATTCAGATATATTTCTTATACATGATAGCCTTAATTCCTTTTTCCCTATCAGCCAATCACAAACAAGCTAACTCCCGGGACGTCAATCTCGGCCAATAGGAAGGGAGGGAGTTGCAGTCTGGGCCTCCTGGGGTCCTTTGGTAAACAGTTAAGGTCTCATGGTGAACCCTCCTCCCCTTCTACCTCTGGCCCAAAATGCAGACACACTAATAGACACACTGGTAAAGGCAACATGAGCACACCTCCAGGCAGTTTCACATAGTTACACTGGACACCACTGTCACCGCCTGCACCCATCACTGCCTCCTCCGTGTTTCTTTAAATCTCTGTTCATTATTCAGTGCATAGATGGACAATACAACCTCTGTATCTGTGATGATTTCTGTGTTGTGTCAGTGTCCAATATTGAAAAATCTATCCAAATTTTGAGATATACAGTCCATGTACCATTCGTTCGTTTGTTATTTCATTATTCCATTTTAGTGTCAAACAAAAAAACACATTTCAACGTCTATTTCCATTATTTAATTTTAAAATTTAAAGTCTCTGTGACTATTTTAATTTTTATATTTTCTTCTCTGGTTTAATTGCCCCGGAAATTCTGCTGCTCATGGAT